CCAGGTACAGCCGCGGGTGGAGAGAGTCAGCTCTCCCTCACAAAATACTCTCACATCGCCACGTGCATACATCTACTGTCAGGATAGTCCTACTCACTGCTTTCTCGTGGCAGGGGTGTTGTTTACGAAATTGAGAGGACGAAAAGCAAGGGACCGATGCTCTAATGGGGTGGGTCGACACAGAGGATTCACCTAGCGGAGTTGGGAAACCCTGATTCTAAACCGATTGTGCACATGGACTCCAGGATCCTGAAGGAAAAATGACGTATAAACCAATTGTTGGTTACCGGCTACTCTGGGACTGCATCTCCTTACGTTGCTTGACTGCCTTGTGGATCAGAACTTTAGGTCGAAGGCTCAGGTTGTGGTCCCCTAAGAAAACCACCCACTTCGGTCTGGCACCTGGGAAGTATCAGAGCCCATGTACAAATTAAGTGGATTGTGTTGCGCATATGTATTCAATGCCTCTGTATATTCACAATTTACCGATCGAAAGTGTCTAAATTTGTTAATTAGTTGTGGTTCAAGGTATAAACACTTCATAAAATGGTAGGTACATGTCAATCCCATTATTAACGACCTAAGCTCTTATCACCTATATTCGTTTTTAAGGTTTTGACTCAGTTTATTGATTACAATGTATTGATGTTGATATTATTTGAGCCAGAGTAGCCAGTTGAATAATCTGAGTAGGTCTTGTGCTTTTACTCGTTATATACTGTAAAGCTTTGAATCATTGGTTACGTTTTGTTTATTGACTGACAGATATGATGTTTTTCGTAGACTTCTGAAACTTAGGGCTGTTTATACCCTAATATTGCAGTTTGTCCTTTTTTAAATTTTGCTTTCATTCCTAATCTTTATACTAGAACTTCTACATTCCTGAGTAGACATAAGCTACTATTTGGTTGTTTTAGATAATATATTCCTTATTTTAATATCTAATACAAATATTCTGAAACCATGAGTGTCATTTGAATAGGTTTTTTAATCTTAGTACAAATCAGATAATAGATATTTTGACATTCTAAAAAATATTGATATTGAAATGTATTGAATTTCAACTATTATTACTAATTAGCTATACATTTATAGACAGCAAGAATGTTTCATCTGCGTTTATCCGTTGACTGTTCATGAAATCGGTGTTATAATGGGCACCATAATCGGAGGAATACTTGTAAACAGTAATCCTACTAACAACCTTTAATGTCTTGCTAACCTGAAAATTGTGATTACAATCTAAAGTAAAGGGTCCCTAAAATAGTGTCATCTCGTTATCATCCCCTACCGTTCGTTGGATCGCAACCTGAATTGGGAATTAAAATGAGTTTTACTGTCAGCTGAGTAATCTCAAGCAAGTGTGCTGTAAAAAAACTTATGCTAGCTGCTGATTTGATGAAGCAGCAACTACATTCAACAACTAGGTGGTCTTGTTTATCTAAACTATTAGTAGTAATAGGCCGTATTATTAAAAAAATATGATATACTTCAAGTATTCCATCATACTAAAGAATCTGTTGTTGTTCTTGTCTTCGGAAACGACCTGATTGATATATACTACAATCATCGCTATGGAATGTTATCAGTCCTAAAATATTGTTTATCCTCATACTGAAAAGATCGTCTATAAAGCTTGAGAAATTGACTTGAAAAATGAGGCCTTGTGTTTTTGAAAAGTAGATTCATTGATCAAGTTTTCATTCCACCAGATGCTTGAACATTATGTTTTTGTGGAAAAATCACCGTTTTTGAAATTATATCTAATTTTGATTTTTCAGACAAGGTTGTTCCGTGGCATGGTTTGTTAAGAAAGAGTGTTGATCCGTTAATATTTTGTAATAAAACATTTTATTTTACTATTGTTTGAATACATGAACATTGGTATAAGGATTTTATTTATTTATTTATTTATTTTAACACATAGATATTGGTACAATGAGGCACCAAATACATGTGCACCACACAAATGTCATTTGATATGTGTTAGGGCTGTATTATTATTATTATTATTATTATTATTATTATTATTATTATTATTTATAATAATAGCCGGTGCCCAAAGATTGGTTCATGCGCCATTTGTTCCTCCAGGATACTGGAGTCCATGTGCACCATTCGTTTGGAATCACGGTTCTCCAACTCCCCTAGATGGACTCGCCGTGTTCACCGGCCCGGTTAAAGCGCCGGAAATTCGCTTTTCGTCCTCTCAATTTCGTAAACAACACCCCTGCCACGAAAAAGCAGTGAGTAGGACTTCCCTGACAGTAGTTGTATACACGTGGCGATGTGAGAGTATTTTGTGAGGGAGAGCTGACTGTCCCTACTGTCGGCCTCTTTTGGGGGCATTTGTTTGAACACAATTATTGGTACAGAAGGTAATTACGCACACATACGCCACACAATAACAATGAGAATACGAAGAGATAGAGAATGTAAAGTGCATATAAGAAAAATTGGAACAATAGCGAACAGATCCACACCGCCATTACCCACATCCATCAGAGCTGTTTCCAGAACGCCATCGATAGCAAAGTTGAGGAGGAATGGTGAGATCGGTCAACCCTGTCTAACCTCACTGCTTGAATGGAACAATGGAATGGGGTGGTTGTATGCCCTCATTCTACCTGATTGTTTTGCATCTAGGGCTTTTTAGATGTTAATAAACTTTTCAGGCACACCCTTCTTCAACAGATAATCTTTGAGTACAGTCGTCCAATAAATCGAAGGCGGCCCTGATGTCAAAAACCACGTTTGTTTCCTGAAATAAGTATGGCGGTGGTAAACCAATACGTCCTTGGCCAGAACTAAAACCATATTGATCCTCGTGGGTCAATGTTTCCAGGACTTTTAGTAACCTGTGATCTATAACGGAAGCTACAAGCGACCTTACGCGTCATTTCCATGGCTTCAACCAATTGCAACCAATGCTCATCTTTACTTTTCTTTGGGTTGACAGCTAACTTTGAACCTTGTTCGGTTTGATATTTAGTTGCAACAAAAACTGCAATCAATTTCCCCGCATCAATCCATTTAGGGCGAATTTTTCGGCCACTTTAAAAAGTAAGATAAGATTATCACAAACAAGGGCATGATCGTAGTCCGGATAAGTATCGCAAAAGAAACGGAATTCTTGTACACAACTACGCCAGCAGTGGCTAAATTGCAATGCGATCAATCTTAACTTAGGCATGATATGTAGAGAGAGGACGCCAGGTAGTACATCGGATATGATTGTGACGATAGTTTGTGCAAACAAGAAACAGGCTATAGTCTGCTCAAAGTTGTATTAGTTAATAACCAGTATCTGACATGTGATCAACAAGTCTTCATTGGCCACTCTACTAACTCTCCATTGCGCAACCCTGCTTAATCCCACTGTTCAAACGAGACAATTGGAGAGAGGTGGGTGTACGCCCTTACTCTACCTGAAATGTTTGTATGTAGGGCTTTTAAGATGTTAATGAACTTCTCAGACACCCTTCAATAGAAAATTTCAGAGCACTGTCCTGTCTAACAAATAGAGGGAAGCCCTCATGTCAGTAAGCATAACGATTGTTGGCCTACAAAAAATCAGCCTGATCTTCGCGAACCAATCTTTCCCGGGTTTTGAAGAAACCGGAAAGTATGACGGAAGCCAATAATTCAGACGCGATCGTAAGTAGATTTATCGCCTGATAGTTGTTGGATATGTGGCGTACGCCTTTTGAAAGATAGGAACAACTAAGGATTCATTTCATGATGTTATAAACAACTCAACGAGTTCCTTAACCAAAAGGTCACCACCATCTTAAGGAAGGGACAAATGTAAACCGTTTGGACCTAGTGATTCGTGACCTCTGCCTCGTTAGGTAGATCAGTCGTCACCTGCCATGAGGGATAGGATAGTCTTATTGATGTCTCTGAGGCAGCAGACTTGTTAAACTGCTACTCGAAAAACACTGCCCATATTCCAAGACGTTGGCAGATGCTAGTGATTAGCGTCCTGTCATCTTCACAGATTATTTCGCTCATGCCAGAATTCTTGTTGCCAGTGTCTTGGATGAGTTGAAAGAGCTTTTGGCGGTTACCAGATACAGCTGTTGCTTCCAACTCATTGACATGCTCCGACCAATAGGCTTCTCGGTCCTTACCTAAGGTGGAGAGCTGACTCTCTCCACCCGCGGCCGTACCTGAGTATTCAACAAACAGACGAGACTTTCAACTATAGAGTATTTATGGACTGTAAAAAATGATTTTATGTAGCTTAGAAACACATGTAGAAACAAATTTACATATTTAATTGATTCACTTACCTATATCCATAGGATCATCGCATGGTACTGATTCTTCTACTGTAACTTCTAAGGGTTGTGTTCTAACCTGAAAAACATTTGAGTTATATTTCGCGTTTTGATGTCAACATAGCGACCACAGTCAAGCAACAATTAAATTTAGAATTTTAGACTATCATCCGGATTATTATTAACAAATCTAAAGAGTTTTAATCACATGGGATGGAGTGATTAATATCTTACAAACTATCTGATAACATCCCAAACCACTGAGTTGTGTGATCTTTACAACTCTAAAAGTCTTTAATTTGGCAATTCAGTCTGAATTAACAAATGGATGCTGTTCTTTTTATTTTCATTAGAGTTGTAACTTATCGAGTTGACACTCATTTTCTAAACAGTTGGTCGTGTGGTTGAAAAATCTCTACTGACGGGGTTTGAGTAACCTAATAGTATGAAAATTTAGAGAATGCTATGTACAATCTAGTAAACAGAAATATATATGTTTGTGTAAATTTACTTTGTGCTCATCACTATATATGTGCCTACAAACTGTGTAGATCGTTGTTCTTAAAGTTCACAAAAATGATTAGTATACGAGTCTAAATAACTTTATGTCAGTAAAATGACTTTGATAGTTATCAATTACAATATTTTTGAGTGTAATAAACCATTGTAAAATCAATGTTTTATCTTTGGCATCGTTTCTTATTTTACAATTTCCAGATGTTCGTGCGCCGGAGTAAATTTAAACATGTCTTCGGGAAACCATGCAAGAAAGAATGCTGTTATGAAGACATTCGAATAACAAAAAGTAGTTGGGATGCCCGTTTTTGTGCTGTGAACCCTAAATACCTTGCGATTATTACCGAAGCTGCGGGGGGTGGATCATTTCTTGTTTTACCTATTGAAAAGGTAATTTCCTTTACACTGATAATCATATGTGGATAAATTTAGGCACATCTTGTTAATTGCTTGTTAAAGCATCATGTTAATACTCCTGCTTTCTCAACTAATTTTAAATACTTTGGTCAAAAATATATATTTTGATAAATTCTAAACGGTTTATACCTTGAAGCAAAAGTTTTATAGTTCAGAAATTAATTTTAATTAGAAAGTTGATCTCACCTATCAAGGTTAGAAAATCATCGCAAATCTTTAGTCATATCAAACGTGGCTCATCGTCTAGTACAGTTTTTCTCAAATTTATGCGGATTATATGTGTTCTTAGTGATTTGGGCTGGTGCTATCCTTGTGACTCTTACTAACTTCAGATTAGTTTGTATAAAAGAAATCATGCTCATTTTATTTTGTTTCGTAATAGCCGTAATTCCCAACTGTTACTGCTATCTTGAAGTGGTGGTCGGGCTTGCCTATCGTGATGAACTAGTCGGGATATACTGGCTGTAACAATCGTTCTTCAAGATCCTACCATGCCAGACAGTTCGGTTGAAGAACGGTAAGACTAAAAGCAACAAACCCAAGGTTCGAGGGCGAAGTCGTACTGTTGACTGTACAGAGTTGTGACAGCAGTAAGATATATTCCTAAAAAACCAGCATAACAGTAATGCTGCCTTCCCACAAAGGAAGGATGGGATTGAAAATGGTCGACACTGAAAACACACACCCCTTATCCCACGGGTTTTCGTCCCCGGCGGTAAAGTCCCAACAAGTACGGAGCTAGCACGAAACTTGGTCAGTATGGTCGTGTGTGACTGACCTCAAGCAGTTGTCCCTTTGGCACCGTGGTCACACTCAGGTCACTAAACCAACTCTAACCCAATTTCCTTTTGAGGTACCTCTAGATAAATACTTCCACGGTGTGGGCAACTGGGAATTGGTAACCACCCTCATAATTCTCACAACACTCGAGACCACTGTATTCATAATTAATTCACCTCTTGATTTCCTATTACTCCTCCTACCTCGACTATCAACTCTAAACTCCCCCTCAAGTGTCACTACGGTCAACGATTCTGACGCGCGAAACACTTTCAGATTTATTGAAACCTCGCTCCATACTACACGTCGGAGCCTTCAACGTACGTACCCTATGTCAAATCGGCCAGCAGGCCACCTTGGCTAAGACTCTAGAATTTCGTACAATTGCTTGTCGTGGTAATCGGTGTTCAGGCATACGCAGCACGTGGCCCAACGATCTCAGTCGATGGAAATTCACGTCATCAACTGATTTACCATCATTACCTAATACCCTGCATCTAACCTCACTATTACTTACCCGGTGATCCCAACAGACGCCAGCACTATTTCTAAGGCATATGTGGTCAAATACTAGTAGCTTACTCTTAAAGGCCATGTTTCGCTGCCGTAAATTAAAACAGAACGGACTGCCGCGCACTATACTCGTCCTTTTATTGATAGACGGATATCTTGCCTTCGCCATAGGTGACTTAAGTTGGCAAAAGCCAAACGAGCTTTTTGAATCCGTGCAGAAACGTCGTCAGACACCAACCCATTAGGGCTGATCAGACTTTCAGTACAAGTGAAGTTGCCAACGCGTTCGACTACTTCACTCCCTATCCTTAGTTCAGGTGTTAAAGCAGACCAGTCCTGAAGCAACAACTTGCATTTAGAGGGAGAGAAGCGCATTCCAAACATTCTGGCATTGTTGCTCAGTGCTACCAAAAGACTCAGCATTTTATCAGCGTCTTCACCAAACAGGACTATGTCATCTGCGTATTCTAAGTCGATAAGTGGGCCTCCTGGTAGGAGATCAGTTCCTGAAAGTTCAGTCGATGATGGCGTTATTTCCATAAGTAGGTGTATGATGAACTTAAACAATAGTGGAGACAGTGGACAGCCTTGACCGACAGCACTTGAGTTTGCAAAATCAGATGTCAGTTCTCCACAAGCTCTGACTCGACGAGTAGTGTTCGAGTAAAGAACCCTCACGAGGTTCATGTACTTCTGAGTTACGCTATTCAATGATAGACACTGCCACAGAACCTCACGGTCTACAGACTCAGATGCTGCTTTTTAGTCCAGAAAGACCACCATTGTCGGACGCCGACAATCATGCCTGTGTTCTAGAACCTGACGAATGGTGAATATGTTGTCAATGCAGCCACAACCAGGTCTGAAGCCAGCCCAATATTCTCGTGTTTGCAGTTCACGAGTCGTTGTTACGCGCCCGATAATTATTGAGGCTAGTATTGTTAATGCTATATTAGTCAAACTAATCCCTCTATGGTTATCACAGGATGATTTTGACCCTTTCTTATTTATTGCGGCAATCAGTTATTGCGACTAGTCAGGTGGTATTACGCCCAACTCCCAAAATCTAGATAAAATATTAGTCAGCCTAGTCGCTGAAACTGGACCACTATCCTCAAAGTCTTCTGGAGTCATTCCATTCGGATTAGCTGCTCTTCCTCGTTTCATATTAGCTATAGCTTTTTGGATCTGATTGATGCTGATTTATGTAAATATTCACTTGTACAGGTTGGTCGGGTAGAACGTGATGCTCCTCTCGTTGCTGGACATACGGGAAGTGTATTAGATATACAATGGTGCCCACACAATGATGATCTTATTGCCAGTGGTTCAGAGGACTGTACTGTGAAAGTTTGGCAAATCCCAGAAGGTGGACTGTTACCCAAAACAAATCTGACTACACCCGTAGCAGATTTGGTATGTCACCAGCGCCGCGTTGGTTTGGTTGTCTGGCACCCAACAGCTGAACATGTATTATTATCTGCAGGTAAGTTTTTCAGTACTATGCTTGAGAGTTGTTATTGCTAAAAGCTATTTTGTGTAGACATTACATCCCTAAGATCACAAAATTCGTTTTAAAAGTTCTTAAAATAACACTGTATCAAGTAAGCATTAATTTCGAAAAAAACGTGTTGGTCATGTTATCGTTGTCCACAAAATGCTTGAGCTACTTAATGGAACCTTTCAAGGTCAATAAATGACACTCTATGTTTAGTAAAATAGTAATGATCAGTGGACAGAATAATCGTCTGTGATAGTATTCATGAATTTTAAACTCACATGTAATGAGATTAAGCACTTGTTTGCAGATTTATTTATAAGAATCTCTGAACATAATATCAGTAGAAGGATTAAACTCGTTTGTGTGTAACGAGTTACTTATTTTTTATCTATCCTTTGAGTACTATACATCAAAATGTAGTTCAAGTTACTAATTAACTTGAGTGATGAAAATAATAATGACAATGGTTAAGTATCAGAGTGACCCCAACATTTATACGACCTCTTTATCATAAATTATCAAAGCCCGAATACCGCCTAAGTTCTTGTTTTCTAAGTAAGATATAAAGGAGTATTTCCCAAAGTTTATTGACATTAACTTGAAACACATGCTTTATTATTGTTATTGGACTTTCATTTGATTTGTAATTTTTCATACCGTGAACTAATGAAATATAATGTGAGTAATAATTTCCCTTCTTTTCTCTCTGGTTAGTTCCGATCACTTTCTACTTTTAATTAATCTATGTATTCTTAGGTGGTTTCTAAAATTGAACAGGCAAAATACTTTGTAATAATAAGATTTGTTTAAATGAATGTAGCTCTCTCAAATACTAGCATTCTCTTCATACTCAATGCGTATCTTATTGTTTCTGTCATAGTATTAATAGTGCTGATTCGTCTGTTGTGTAATATTTGTATTAAATCTCTGTGATTTATCTGCTATCACTTGTTCATTTCATTTTAATTCAGAATACGACATAGTGTCTACAAATTTGCAATAATATTACTACACATCGTACATACTCAAAACAGTCGGTCAGTGAGAACTCACATTCAACTGTACACAAATGTCGATTAGTCTAAGTTTCCATACCACATTGCAACAAGACGAAATTATCATGATGAATATCAAATTACTAGTATCAGTGGTAGTAAAAAATATTGAATGAACAACTTGGTTGAGCATGTGTTTACTAATAGATATTTAGATGTTTACCTAGGTTGATTTATCAGGTCGTTGAATAAATTTGTGGTTTTTATTTTGGTAATATAAATAATTTTTACTGTAAGTAATAAATATATTTTTACTTAATTTATTTGAAACTTAATTCCAACCTTGGTATTGATACCCATAAATTTTTACTGTATATTTTAATGTCATAATATATTATATAGCATAGTTGTATGATATGTAAACTTTGAAATTCAATCGGTTAACTTTTACACTATAGTTGAAATCTCCTTTACTGCCTAGAAATTCAAAATAAATGAGTTATTGTTTCATTGGTTCTTATATCCAGCGTTAATTTCAAATGAAGTTATTGTATTTGTATTAATCAACAGCTTGTTTTGATTATAAGTGTTCACAGCATCGATTTTCATCTCATGTCTGATATATATTTTATCTGATATCATAGTTACAGAATTCTAGCTATTGTCAAATGTGTTGTTGTCATTTTTCAATTGTGTTATCCATTTGTTTTTTTTTCTGTCAAGTAAGTGAGAAATTAGCTATGTTATATACATGTTTCTCTATTATCAATTATATCGATAGAATATGATTAGTGTAAATGAAATGTTGTTGTTAGGAGCTATGGGTTAGTTGTTAAATAATTTAAATTACAATCACTGCGTTGATGTATTGTATCCGGACTCACCTACTTTATTTTGGCCAGTTGAACAGTAACAATAACTCTTACATAAAGCATGTAGCTCAAAGCTAAGTAAATAAAATTGGTTTCGACAAATGAGTTGAAGTATCATATTTCTGGAATTCGTGTTAGAAAACATTTTGTAGTGATTTTTACGTCAAATTATTCATGATATACGTGACATTATTTTTAAATGTCTATCAGTCAGCCATAATCAACGCAGAGCGTAGGACATATGCGTTGGCTTAGGTGGTCACATCAATACAGCGAACTTACATTGTTAAGATAAATACCATAGTAGTAGGAAAGTTGGTGATAGTGAGAATGATTAAACACAGGATATATTTAGAGAAGGAACTCAGGATCTAAAGATAAGATTGAATGTATCTGTACCAGTTTGACCGATCCTGACCCATATCACTCAACGTCCTCAACCACCAATCGCATTAATTTCACGGGTCACAACTAGGTGGTCTGCGTTTATCGACACAGCTCCGATCAGTAGTCAATAGTTTCATAGATATATATCACGTCGTCGTCCGACCTCTTCGATAGTGTTTTTTCAACCTACTCCTTTCAGTCAGTCAGTCAACAACGTAGAACTTCGTACGTACGTACATCAGTTCGAGTTGCCAAACCACATTACCACACAGATACAATTGTCGATTCAAATCCCATAGTGATAGAGGTAGTAAAAGTGTAAGCAGTAATCGGAAAGATTAGGGTTTGAAGATGTTATTCAAAGAGCATAATTCAGTGAAAAAAATTTGGAAAGAGAAAAAAAGGAGACAAATAATTCAGAAGATTAGAATTTGGGAGAACACAAAGAATGGATGCACCTGCGTCATTGCAAACGATTTTGAGTTATGTCATTTAGGGTCTGACAAACTGACACACCTCAACTTATTTCCGTTATCTTACCGTAAAATACAAGTTGATCTAACCATCGGTTGCTATCATCTCGCGGTCCCCAACCAGGTAGTCTACACCTAACAACATGGCTCAGTCCACTTGTCAGTGACTTCATGGATTTGTACCATATTTTGGTCTGGCCGCCCCTAGCCTTCTTCCAACCTATTCCTACACCGTAAAACATCACACGTCGAGGCAGTCAGTGGTTGGGCATACGTAACACGTGTCCCAGCCATCTCAACTGATGAAGTTTCACTACTTCATCAATTGATTTGCCATCCTTACCTAGTACCCGTTTCTTAACAACTGCATTACTTACTCAGTGGTCCCAGGATATACGAGCAATGTTTCGAAGACATCGATGATCGAATACTAGTAACCTACGAATATCTTCTACTCTTACCGGCCATGTTTCACTACCATAAAGTAGGACGAAACGAACTGCTGCACAGTAAACACGTCCTTTGGTTTATAGACGGATATCTCGCCTACGCCATAAATGACTCAAGTTGGCTAAAGCTAGTCGAGCTTTCTGTATCCTTGCTGAGATTTCGTCACACACCAGACCACAAGTGCTGATGAGACTCCAAGATAAGTGAAGTGGTCGACACGCTCAACTATTTCACTCCCTATCATTAGTTCAGGTGTCGATGCAACCTATCATAGGGCATGTTTCACAGACACAGCAATGCTAAGTATTTTATGAAGATAGTTTTCTTCTTAGATTATCATAAATAACCGATTAATTCCAAAGTTATCATCATTGACTTATGTTTGTTGAATAACTGGATAATCGTTTCACTCATCTGAAAAGCTGGTTCAACTTCTCTCATCCCAAGATTTTAATGAAGCACAAGGTGATAGAGTTAAGTGTGGTACATAAATGAACATTTATTAAATTATATGTTTTAAAGCCGCTAACGTGTTTTTTTATGGCTATATATCTTTTCGTCTGTTCTTATTTGTGTGAAACCCTCTGCTTTATTTTGTCCTCTTATTATCTAATTAAAGCTTTAAATTGTCCACATAGTTTGAAGTGTCAGTATACCTTGCTTGCTCAAAGAAAATTTATAATTTTGTCGACTTTATCTTTTTCTTGTAGGCAACAAACTTAAATCTAGTTTAATTTTCTAATTTTATTTTTGCGAATTTGCAAGTGAATGATTTTTCTGCTAAAATTACTTATTGTTCTTAGCGAAAGCTATAACGCGTTTACAATTTGGTATTTGATATATTTCGTTGATGGTCTATTTGTGGCGTTATGTTGTCCTGGTTCCTTTCTATTATTCAAATTCACCGCTAAAATAATATTGATTTGATTACTATTCCGTATTATAATTTTTAATATCCTTGTTTGTGTTCAAATTAATTAGGTGCTGATAATAAGGTGTATATATGGAATGTTTCTACAGAAGAGCCATTGGTTGAAATGAAATTCCCAGATATTGTTTTATCTGCTTGTTTCAATTATAATGGTTCTCGTTTGGTTACAACTTGTAAAGATCGGCGTACAAGAGTGGTTAACCCACGTGATGGAAAAGTTATTGTTGTATGTTTCTTTTTATTGTATTTACTATATCTTGTTTGTTTCAATGACTCAGTTTTATTTAACGTATTTTGTTTTCCTAATACTTTTGTTGGTACATGAAATATGAAATTATTTCTATTCAAGAGATCATAAAAAGACACAGTGACACAAATTAAAATAATATTGTGGATGGGTCAAAAATGAAATCATAAAACGACCAAAATTGATAGAGATTAAAAAAAGACAGTTAAATAAGAGGGCGTGAAATCTGAATTTTTTCCATCTTTATGATACTTCTTGCTGGTCATAAGACAGACGTTCGATAAAAATCCAATCCGTGCTAACACTGACTGTTATTCTCAGCCATACTTAACAATGTTTTAATTCATCATATTATCGATTCAAAGAGTTTATAAATGAACAGCATATGTTAACGCAATACTGTCCTTCCTCTGAGTCATGTCACAAACTAACCGTCTGTCTGCTTTCCAACTATCAGTCCAAGGATTAGCGAATAGTACTTAATATGAAAGCCGTCAAGACAACATCCGTCAAATATATACAATTATGTTAAATATTTTAATATACTAAGTATATTAAATACCTGATTACAGTAGCAACAACCCAGACAACTCACAGAGTAAACTCTTTACAAAACTTATTCAAAAGTGTGAAGACATATTGCAGTATCGCCATTGTACACAGAAATGGAAGGAAATACTTAATGGATATATCCTCGGAAAATAGCTAATAATAAAAATTAGTCAAGAAATGTTTATCGAATTTACGATTTAGTACGAAATCATTAGCAAAAGTTGTTAAAGGAATAACTCTACTCTATATGGAAAACATCTCCGAGATCACAAACATTAGAGCCATTAAGAACAGGCATAGCCCACAAGCCAAAAAACTGTTATCGTCAATATTATGCGAAGCAAAGAACACAACAACAATAGAAAACAAGGCAGAGACCGTATAGACAATAAATTACAGCAACCGGACAAAGTGACCCCCATGTATGTCTACGTTTACACAAATACCTATTAGCCATTAAACTCCACAACATAACTTCGCTTGTATCCGTGCATATGAACATGAGTTCAACTACGAAAATGTTGTAATATTTAACGGTGAAAACCAAAAGAGAGTCTTTGAAACCCTGTTACTCCACTGAAGCACCAATCAATAAACATCGAGACCAACCAGGTTTATCAGCCAATAAGAAAAGCCATTGAAAACTGCATAGTCAGAGATCAGATCAGGTTGAAAAATACTTACTTACTTACTTACGCCTGTTACTCCTCGTGAAGGAGCATAGGCCGCTCACCAGCGTTCTCCATCCAACCCTGTCCTGGGCAATCCTTTCTAGGTCCGTCCAGTTGTAATTCGTCGTTTTCATATCTGCTTCTATTATCCGACGCAATGTGTTCTTTGGCCTTCCTCTTTTTCGCTTCCCTTCAGGATTGCAAGTTAGGACTTGCCTCGTGATGCAATTTGATGATTTGTCTAATGTATGTCCTATCCATTTCCATCGTCTTTTCCTAATTTCTTCTTCAGCTGGGAGTTGGTTTGTTCTCTCCCACAGAAGGCTGTTGCTGATGGTATCCGGCCAAAGGTTGAAAAATAGCCAAACTTTAATTATACTGAAAGTTGTTGGAACGAAATGCGTTTGGTCATTTTACGGTAATAATGATTAACTGCAGTAAGCCAACAATCGTCCTTATCTAGTAAAGTTTAAGGCCTAAAAACTCATGGCGTATATGACGGTGGAAATAATCCACTTTACCTCATATACTTGTGAATGTTTTTTATTCGTTTTCAGGAAATCATGTCCTCTGTTTACACATGGGGGTAGTGTTTTGGGCCTTAAGGCGGTTTTATTTGTCTGGAAAGTAAATTAGGGTAACAAATCATGATTCCAGATCAATGACAGACTTAAGCGCTAGGGTTCTGAAGAAACAAGTATCATATAAATCTGCCTTAATAATCGATAACCGTGAACACTATATCGTTGGTCTATTGTTTTCTGGGTCCGACGCTTATATGGATCATGGGTAGAACTCACTGTTTCATAAAAAACCACCTACTTCTAGTCAGTTGTTTTAGAAGTATTGTAACTCCTCACAAGTTATGACAATTCATCGTAAACAACAGTATTTTTTGAATATAATTAATCTCTACGAAATAACTCATCAACATCTTTTGTTTGTTTGTTAAAATGCTTATACAGAATTGTTTTATTGTTTTAGAATGAAATGTGTTCTAATTGATATTATAGCATGGGTTTATAGTGCATATGATTGCCATGCACTTCTTGCTTTGTAGCTGATAATTTTGCCTTTGTGCTGATTAATAACTAATTTGTCTCAATGTATGCAAAATTTATTTTATAGGAAGGTATTTGTCATCAAGGCACCAAACCACAAGAAGCTATTTACATTAAAGACGATCGAATTTTTACTACTGGTTTTTCACCAATGAGCGAACGCCAATTTGCTTTATGGAATAAAGTATGTTATGCATTGTTTTATTGATACCTTGCTTTTTTGCTTGACAGAATAACTTGTTATGATGGTAAAATGTTTCTTTCTTGAAAAATTAATGCGATTTCAAGGAATACATTCCTTAGATCTGTTCGAAACTGTACAATAGCTATAAAACCAACCTTAGAGAAAATGGTCAATTACGTAATCAGCTTTAAAATAATTTAAGTTTTCCAGAACAAGATAAAATATAACATGTAACACATTGTCAGCTTTCTCATCAACTTCCTCAATTAAGATTTCCGTTTTTGTGAATATAAGTTAATCTTATTGAATAGTATCAAACTTAATCTCAGGAATCCTGAAACTTTCTTCACTTGGATAATCCAGCGTAGTAAATGATGACATAAATTTGCAGCTACCCCGTAATTAGTGCTTAGTGTTAATAATGCTAAGAAAAAATTGACTTTTGTATATTTTTAGTTTTGTATATCCGTTTAGCTATGTAGTGTAACATAGTTCACTTTCCGTCTATACTCAGTGACATGATTATTTTTAAAAATCGTATAGGTAAATCCTTTGTATTTTATGCAGTTTTCATCATTATTGTTCAAAGGATCGTGCAATTGTATGAAGTATAATCCCATTCTGAAAAGAGGAAAGATTCATGGCTTATGTTTTAAATATCTAGGAATTCAAAGGCTAATGACTGTACATTGCTATGACTACATTTGTAATGATAAAAATAAGGATTTCTGGCAGTGACATGCGCTAACTCATTTGGTTTTATTTATTTATTTGAACACATACATATTTGTACAAGAGTGCGCCAAATATATATGCGCCACACAACTCATTTGATGCAATATATCTTCCGTTAATTATGATTAAACTTGGTCTTTTTGTATTTCTGGAATCTTGGCTATTTAACAATCGGAGAAAACTAAACAGATTGAAATGCGTAATATTTGTTAACTCCCTCGAAAATCGACAGAACTATGGTCTGTACGGCGAGCCTTATCCGTAAGCAGTGTAGTTTAGTCATGGGCTTCTCCTAGCGTCATTGCTTTTTGTTATGGTTTAGTTTCCACTTTTTTATAGTATTTCCCCATCCACATACGATTGTAACGAAGTTGTGAAAAGTCTACCAGAAATTTGTGTGTTTCAGTGGAGTCGCATCACATTGGATAGTTACCATAAGTTCTACTCAATACATTGAATAACTTAATATATTCACTTGCATAAATTTCATTAATCACTTAAATTGTAATTTTAGGACGACTTTAGCGAACCTTTACACATTCAAGAACTGGATACAAGTAATGGTGTAATGTTTCCTTTCTATGATTCAGATACCAATTTGGTATATCTTTGTGGAAAAGTAAGTGATACTCTTGTTTCATATCATATCTGATATGATTACGTAGTGGTAATCTTATGACTATTTAACCGCCTCTAATTTTTTTTTAAATTTTGAAATTTTCATCCTCTCCGCTTGTACAATCACTTGAAATCTTTAAAAGATCTGAATATTATATCCTTTTAAGGAATACATGTCTGTTCCTAAACTGTGGCACCATGCATTGCATTTCTCTATCATCTGGTTCGAATTATGATGTATGTAATAACTTATTCCCAAGCTGTAATGTAGATAAGATTTGTTCACTTCTATAATTTTATTCAGATAATTAATTCCATTCTTTGTTTTTGCTCGCAACTTTTGTTTACTTTGTAATAAACACTTTTTCTGTGGCATTTGTAACATCCTTCGCTTTAAACATTCTATGCAGACTAAGAGTGAGATTGTTTAATTTGTTAAATCAATTCTAAACTATATCAATAATATGATACCTTATAATCACGTGCTCAGTCCTTTTATAAAAAGTGAAGTGGCAAGAGTGAACACAAGTTACTCATTTTCATTTATCTTTGCTTTTATGTTCATAAGTTACTTCGCTAATACCTCTTCTGCATAATCATGTTGAAAACGAAAAGTAACCAACAAGAATCGAATATTGGTTACTTTTCATTGTCTTGTGAGCTTTTTTCCTCTTGGAAACTTACATATAAAGGAAAACATTTAATTCATTTACTGATAACTTTCTAATGGACTGGTCGTTGTCTCTGTCTCTGTGCGTGTTTATCATCAAAGGAGATAGAGAATATCTAGTTTTACATCACATTTATCTTCCGCCTTAAACTTTCTGTTCCAGTCACATGTTTTTTTTCAGCCACATGAATCCTACTTGTATATGTACACATATTACTTAAAAGTTTATTATCAAGACCCGTTTTACTTGTTTTTCTTCTACTTCTAATAAAATGAAAGTGTGTTAAATCGTTCAGATGATTACAAAAAAGATCTTGCACATGATTTTGATAGGACGTAAATCTGACAGATTTGTTATTGTTTTGTAAGACATTTCTAATAAATTTATCCTCTCGTCACTGTTTTCAATACAATTGCTTGATTAATGGTTCTGGAATACATATATATCATTCTATACTGTTATCAGTCATACTTTAAATATTGTAGGCTATTGATACATCCAGGCTACTTAGATCGAAATAGATATATAGCATAGTTTGAATCTACAGCTTATTGGTTGAAAACTAACTAATTCTATACATGGTCAAACTTCATTGAGTTCTTCTTTCATTAGAACTCGTTTGCTATGGAAATTTCGCCTAATGTTTGTGGCACATAACGGTTGTAAATAGATTGTTATTGTTCATCACTTTTAATTATTATACGCGATATATGTTATGCTTAATTAGATGTATTTCAATGGTTTTCGTCATACGATATCTCCGCACGGAAATCAGTTACTTGAAGGTGTAGGTTGATAATAATGGTACAATCATACATTTTCATCCTTTTCAAAATATAATAATGTGGACTTGATTTTTTTTATTGTTCAATATGGATGTTTGGTTTTAAAGAGTTATTTTCAGGGTTTTTGAGGTAACTTCTGATCGTTTTGTAATATGAAATAAAATAAAATTTAACTTCTTAACATTTCTGCTTCTTAAATTACAAAAATAACAGTTACTTACATACACTTTCCAGTAGGTCATCTTACCTGCCTTAAGGATATTTCCTACTTAAAATCTAGCTGCACTAGTTACGATGTTCAACATATTGTTGACTGTCGACTGTTTTGAACTTAATCCTTTTCTAGCTGGTTGTCATTGAAAGTCAAGATTACCGTATACCCATTCTGAGATTAGTAGACTTACACTTCTTTCACTGATTTTCAAGTATCATATACTAAAATTTTGACTAACTAAACGACACTCGCGATCTCACTGTTATCACGCTGTACCACTGACTAGGTTTTGTATGATATTGCTAGTATTTATCGTGGTATTTTAAAGTTTTTACAAATATTAATAGAATTTTTACGACAACGTCTAATTAATTAGTGTAATTAATAACATTGAGTTAATGAATTGTTAATTAGTTTAAGGAACTAGTTATTATGTCTTATTTTTACCTTACATCCATTTTGACCATATATGGTCTGACTGATTAACTGAAATAAATATTTGCTGTGTTGTTCAGTTTATTTTTTACTCATATGATCAATTATAGAAACCGTATATCTGGAACATTTTCTCAACTGAATTAATGCCAAATTCACTGCTACATTATTCTAATCTGTTTTGCAGTATATCTTGTACTATTCATTTTGTGCTAATATTGTATGGCAACCAACGCAGATCTACGTTTGTCATTACTTTGATAATAACTAAGTGACTGACTAATGAACTACATCAATAAGGTTAGAAAGCATTATTTATTCGACTGCAACCACTATCATGAGGCCAAATTATATCAGTGCACTGTTAATGCTGCTTGTTTTTTTTATTTATTAAGTTATGTGAATGCCCCCTTTTTATAATATCTGTTTCCTTTGTTTTATCTTTAAATTGTAATTTCATGTGTACCAAAACAAAATCGGCATACATGAATCCATACTGCTGTTGTATTCTTATGAGTCAGCTAAAAAATCATTATTTATTTATGGAATATTTACAAGTTTGTTATCGCATATATTTTATGGTTGAAAATAATCATAAATTTCAACATTGCTGTGTATTTCTTCTTATTTAACTTTTTTGTTAAGAGGTTTAACGTTTTTCTTTCTTTCTCCTCCATAATTTAATTTTTACGCCCGTATTTGGTAAATTATTCGGTATTTTTTCTTTCTATTCACATTCCCCAGTAGTAAATTAAGAATAAAATAATCTAATTCGTGGATTGTTTATCTATTTTGTTCTCCTACTATACAGTGCTAATTATTAGTTATGTTACTTGTTTAGACCTAATATAAAATTTGTTTGTAACTTATTTCATGTGATTACTTCGTACAGTAAGTAGTGTACTATATATATAGCCAGTGAATTAGTATTATTGCTAACACTTACAGAAAATCTGCTGCCTAAAGCTAGTTAAACAGATAGATAGATTGATGTTCAAGCGCTAGTCATCTCAAATTTTAAACGATTTTATTTAGTTATTATACAGGCTCAGATTCTTACTAAAACAAGTAGTATCATGGAGTTATTTAATCGTTTAAACACTAAGATGATTTTGTATAACCAATGTCTATATCGTTCGACTATTTATTCATATTTCGGAACAGAAACATTAATCGCTGTTAAAACATGTAATTTTTTTAATTATATTACTTATTAATACCTATGATTTTGTGCTAGATTTTTACCCACTCACTTTTTAACATTTGGTCACATGCCTACTATTTTTTTCACAAGTTAAACAGGCAGTGACTATTGAGCCATGTCGATAGTAATCATGGTCAGTAAATATGTGCTTTGTTTAAAGTGTATATAGGAATTTTACGTACGATTGCAGGTAGATACGCATATTTTGCTTTGTAGTGAAAAATAATCAAGTCACGTCTACCTCTGTTTTGCCAACCAAATACTTTCACTAGTCCTCGTGTATAAACGTATGCCTAAAACCAGAATATACAAATTTGTACTTGCTAAATGAGGTGCATTGTATTGTTACCTATTATTAAACTGAATTAATAACATATAATGCATCATATATGGTTAATAAATGACTGTAATTTGTTAGTAGTCGAAATGCGAAAACAATATTCGATGCTTCATTTTTCGTATAATTTACCATGTCTGTAACAACAAATGTACAAAATTAGAATTACTGTAAACATCAATGGCTTTATCTGTAAACGTTTATTCGTATGTATTCCTTATCGTTGGTTGATTTTCTGATTAGATAGGCTGTACAAAAATAAACATCTGTTCACCTAACAATAATAGTGTTAAATTGATCAGTTTTTAGTATCATTTAAACGTGTTTTATTTCCAAATAAGAATTTATGCTTAAATCAATAACCGATTGCACTATATATATATATATATATATATATATATATATATATATATATATAATGTTTTTAAGGTTTGGATTTTCTTTTCTCGATTATTCGCTATCACAAGGCAAAGTTTCTATATGGAAATCTTTGATATGGTCTGTTTTAGAGCAGTAACTTACCCATTAGCACACGACTTTAGACCGGTGCGTCACAGATTCAGACTTCACTTTATGTACTTTGTTTCTGTCAGTTAGATAGTTTCATTAGTGTTTATAAATATGGTTTGGTTCAAAGCTAAGCCCTTAATAAATGACTGACATCATAAGGCCAGGTCCATGAAATTCATCGTTCCAAACCCATATAAATTACCTTTCACTGCGAAATGCACTATGAAAAAATATAAGTATATTTGGTTTGTGAAAAGTTGTGCTGTGCTTTCTGGATTGTATATTTGAGCGCTCACCCATTCCTGTGATTTCTAGCTTCAAGTGATTGTCTAACTACAATGCAAAATAAAATATAATACCATAATAATTTTCTATTATCCTCTGATTTTATCCTCATCTAAGACAGACCAAATACAAGACATAATGTCATAATTATCAAGATCTAACTTCTTTAGGTCATCTAATTTCTTCCAGTTTTTAAGCAATAAGATTCATCACACATAATGTAGGTTAGGTCGATAAAAATTGTTCTTCCGAAGCATATTTCTTATATTTTATTTCCCATTATTATTATCATTTTATTTATCATTCCAGTTAGTTTCACTTTTTAATTCAATATCTGCTAATGTAAGTTTTGACTACTCTGTCAGATATCCATGAATGGAGTTTTAATAGTTACTATTAATGAACCTTCTCGCATTTATCTAGTGTGTTTTGTAACCATATCTCTAGGATTATAACAGATGTAAATGGTGATCTTTGTAATATACAGTTTTATATTTGATCTTATATTTGAATCAAAGGACCCTTTTTTACTTTGTACTCTCCCAAATATCGGCTATAAA